AGTGGTTCGGGACTATTTAGAAAAACTGGACGTGCACAAGTCCATGGGGCCGGATGCGCTGCATCCGAGGGTGCTAAAGGAGTTGGCGGATGAGACTGCAGAGCCATTAGCCATTATTTTTGAAAACTCATGGTGATCGGGGGAGGTCCCGGATGACTGGAAAAAGGCTAATGTAGTGCCCATCTTTAAAAAAGGGAAGAAGGAGGATCCGGGGAACTACAGGCCAGTCAGCCTCACCTCAGTCCCTGGAAAAATCATGGAGCAGGTCCTCAAGGAATCAATTATGAAACACTTAGAGGAGAGGAAAGTGATCAGGAACAGTCAGCATGGATTCACCAAGGGGAAGTCGTGCCTGACTAACCTAATTGCCTTCTATGATGAGATAACTGGCTCTGTGGATGAGGGGAACGCAGTGGATGTGTTATTCCTTGACTTTAGCAAAGCTTTTGATACGGTCTCCCAAAGTATTCTTGCTGCCAATTTAAAGAAGTATGGGCTGGATGAATGGACTGTAAGGTGGATAGAAAGCTGGCTAGATCGTCGGGCTCAACGGGTAGTGATCAATGGCTCCATGTCTAGTTGGCAGCCAGTTTCAAGCGGGAGTGCCCCAAGGGTCGGTCCTGGGGCCGGTTTTGTTTAATATCTTTATTAATGATCTGGAGGATGGTGTGGACTGCACTCTCAGCAAGTTTGCCGATGACACTAAACTAGGAGGCGTGGTAGATACACTAGAGGGTAGGGATCGGATACAGAGGGACCTAGACAAATTAGAGGATTGGGCCAAAAGAAACCTGATGAGGTTCAACAAGGACAAGTGCAGAGTCCTGCACCTAGGACGGAAGAATCCTATGCACTGCTACAAACTAGGGACCGAGTGGCTAGGTAGCAGTTTTGCAGAAAAGGACCTAGGGGTCACAGTGGATGAGAAGCTGGATATGGAGTCAACAGTGTGCTCTTGTTGCCAAGAAGGCTAATGGCATTTTGGGCTGTATAAGTAGGGGCATTGCCAGCAGATCGAGGGACGTGATCGTTCCCCTTTATTCGACATTGGTGAGGCCTCATCTGGAGTACTGTGTCCAGTTTTGGGCCCCACACTACAAGAAGGATGTGGAAAAATTGGAAAGAGTCCAGCGGAGGGCAACAAAAATGATTAGGGGGCTGGAGCGCATGACTTATGAGGAGAGGCTGAGGGAATTGGGATTGTTTAGTCTCCAGAAGAGAAGAATGAGGGGGGATTTGATAGCAGCCTTCAACTACCTGAAGGGGGGTTCCAAAGAGGATGGAACTCGGCTGTTCTCAATGGTGGCAGATGACAGAACAAGGAGCAATGGTCTCACGTTGCAGTGGGGGAGGTCTAGGTTGGATATGAGGAAACACTATTTCACTAAGAGGGTGGTGAAGCACTGGAATGCGTTACCTAGGGAGGTGGTGGAGTCTCCTTCCTTGGAGGTTTTTAAGGCCCGGCTTGACAAAGCCCTGGCTGGGATGATTTAGTTGGGAATTGGTCCTGCTTTGAGAAGGGGGTTGGACTAGATGACCTCCTGAGGTCCCTTCCAACCCTGATATTCTGTGATTCTGTGATTCTATGATCCTCAACTTCTTCATGAATCTGTTAAGATTTCGCGGGTCCAGGATAGGTCTGAGACCACCGCTGGCTTTCGGGATTAGGAAATAGCTGGAGTAGAAACCTCTGCCCCTTAGCTCCTGAGGGACCTTCTCTACTGCTCCCACTCTTAGGAGCATTTGCACCTCTTGCGGTAGAAGCTGGTCTTGAGAAGGGTCCCTGAAGAGGGACAGGGAGGGAGAATGGGATGGAGGTGGAGAACTGAAGTGAATATCCCAGTCCTATCGTGTGTAGCACCCAGCAGTCTGACATAATCTGGGCCCATGCAGGATAGAAGTGGGATAAATGGTCCAAGAAACACAGGGGAGAAACACAGGGAGATGAACTGGTGCATCGCCCTCAGGCACACCCTCAAAAGTTCTGGATGTTTTGCAGGTCTGGGACCCTGAGTAAATGAAGGCCTCCTAGTATGGTTTCTGCCCCTCTTTCTGATGTAATCCTGCCTATGCTGAGATTGACAGAAGTGAGGAAGGGGTTAAGGTTTAAAGTGTTTCCTTTGTGGAGCCAGAGTATGAAGCCCCAGTGACTTGAGGGTGGCCCTGGAGTCTTTTAGGCTGTGGATCCTCGAGTCTGTCTTCTTGGAAAAGGGGGATAATCCCCCGAAAGGGATGTCCTATATGGTCTGCTGGACCTCATACGGGGAGTCCCGAGGCCTGGAGTCAAGAGCTCTGCCTCATGGCTACAGCCGAAGACATGGTATGTGTCGCCGAATCGGCCACATCCAGGGCTGCTGTAACGAGGCCTTGGCCACCAATTTTCCCTCTTCCACAAGGCCAAGAAACCTGCCCTGCACTCCGTTGGCAGCAGCTCCATAAACTTTGACATCGCTCCCCAAGAGTTGGGGCTATATCTGCTGAGGGTCACTTGATGGTTGGAAATCTGAAGCCCCCAGTAGAATATACTTTTCTACGGAAGAGGTCCAACTTCTTAGCATCCTTGGCCTTCGTTAAAGGCCCTTATGGGCCTTGACACTTACATTCATTTGCTGCTACCACCAGGAGGAAGCCTGGTGGTGGGTGGGAATATAGGTATTCAAACCCCTTAGATAGGATGAAATACTTTCGCTCCATCCTCTTTGCAGTAGGGACCAAAGAGGCTGGGGTCTGCAATTTTTAGCTGTGTCTTGGACGGTCTTAATAAGTGGTAGGTCGACCTACCAGCTTGAGGGGGCCAGGATGTCCACCATAGGTTCTGAGGCCTCGGAAATGTCTTCAACTTGGAGCCCCAGGTTCTGGGCCATTCTCTTCAAAAGTTGTCAGTGGACCTTGCTGTCATCAAGGATGGTTGTAGAGGAGGTCCCTGTCACAGCTTCGTCTGGTGAAAGGAACAGGCTCTTGCTCCTGTCCTTCTGTTCCAAGGGGGTCACGTGGTACTGGTTCCTCCAGTACGGCATCCAGTTTGGTGCCATGAGGTTGGTCCTGCACCGAAGGGAGCAAAAGGGGGCTCTGCTCTCTGACGCAACGGACAAAGACCGCCTCGAATGCGACCACTGGGCTTGGTGGAACGCTGTGGTTTCCAAAAGGGCCATTGCGTGGTACCGGCCACTGCTTGGACCAGGGCACAAGAGGGAAAGACTGACCCATGTCAGTCCTTGAATGTCTATGCTCCGATCTGTGCCAGCTCCTCCTAGAAATATAGGATTCCGGCTCAGAGTCCGATGCGGAAGACTCTTTTCGTGCCTGACAGTGCCGGGGTAAAGACTAGTGTGGCATCATAGCTGGCTTGCTCCCGGATGGTACCGGGGGCAAAGGAGACCAGTGCGGCACCATAGCCAGCTTCCCTCAGGATGGTTCCAGGAGTCTTTGCAGTGCCGGTGCTTTCGGGCCCAGTGCACACTCTCACCTGGTGGGAGACGGCGATACTGTGAAGGCTATTAGTTCCCTAGCTGCCTCAAAAGTTTCAGGCATGGAGAGCAGCTCCAGCGTGTCTCTCCGCAGCTCTCCCGAGGACGGAAGTCCATCGGCACCGGATGTAATATAAAATATAATATAAAATAATATAAAATAATATAATATATGGAGATATACCTATCTCCTAGAACTGGAAGGGACCCTGAAAGGTCATAGAGTCCAGCCCCCTGCCTTCACTAGGAGGACCAAGTACTGATTTTGCCCCAGATCCCTAAGTGGCCCCCTCAAGGATTGAGCTCACAACCCTGGGTTTAGCAGGCCAATGCTCAAACCACTGAGCTATCCCTCCCTAGCCCTTGACTGATCTCTCACTGGGGCCGGAGTCATTGGTGCCGTGCTGGGTAGAGTAAGTGGCCTGGTGCGGGTCACACTCCGCTCAAGTCCTTTTGCAGTGCTGGCCTCGGCGTGGATGAGTGCCCCCCATCAGATTTCTTCTGTTTCTTGAGCGGCCCCGGCGACTGGCAGCAGTGCCGTGCACTGCCGTGAGCAGAGCCTCTATGTGCCAGAAAGTCCTGCCGGTGCTGAGAGTCTATAGACATAGTCCTTTTTCGGTGTAGAGGTCTCCCTCGTCAATGTCAGTGCAACTTCGCACCGCTGCAGACGTGCTGGGTGCCAGTTCAGCTGAACTTGGCTCCAAGTGGGGGCGAAGGGCTGTCTCCATCAGGGGGAACTTCAGCCTCTGATCCCTCTCCTTTTGAGCTCTGGGATGAAATCCCCTGCAGATCTTGCAGTGCTCCTTTTGATAGGATCCTCCCGGACACTTCAAGCAAGAAGTGTGAGGGTTGCTGTTGGGCACAGGCTTATTGCAAGACGTGCACGGTTTAAACCCTGGATACTGAGGCATGCCCCAGTCCCAGGACAGGAAAGAAGGGGGTGACCCCGATAAGCGGGTCCTAACTACACTAAAAGTACTACATTAAACTAAATATACAATATATATGCCCAGGTTGACTAACAAACTAGTATAACTATATACAGGGAGAAAACGGTAAGACCACTACGGTAGCACTTGCAGATGCAAGAGAGAAACAACATTCCAGCCAACCATCACAGGTGGTAAGAAGGAACTTAAGAGGCCGGGGGCCGGCAGGACTCTATATACGGCGCCAGAAAGGTGCGACTCCAGGGGGCTCTAGAGCCGACCGATATATACCGCTAGGGGAAAATCTTCTGGCGACTGTGCATGCCTCAGTATCAGACTGCGCACACACCTACTTGGAATCAACGTGAGCTAGCACTCGAAGAACAACAAACCAGAATTACAGGAGTTTTCAAAAACAAACTCCATCACACACACAAAAAGAGAACGAACTTTGGGCATTTTAAGCCCAAGCCATCACTTTGTTCCCAGGACTCAGAAACCAGCTTTTTATACTGGATGTTTTCACTTTAAAGTTTTCACCTGGAGTAGCAACTTTCATTTAAGTTCAATCACATAATCTTTGTTTTTCTGATTAAATATATACCTTAACTCTGTCTCTTAAGTTTTGCCCAAATACAAATGCTTGCTGTGCATTGTGCTCTGACTTCTCGCCGTTTTCATCCTCTGAAGTATTGTTAGACTCATTTTTCTGACATTCTCTCACCTAAAGGAAAAAAAACGGAGAAAAATTAAGCCTAGAGAAATTAGATCCGTTTGTTGAATAACATTTTTGTTAAAAACTATACTTTTTCCTTTCCAATAATTTTCATTAATGCTATGCACTAGGAACAAGGGGGGGCTCCAAAGAGGATGGAGCTAGGCTGTTCTCAGTGGTGGCAGATGACAGAACCAGGAGCAATGGTCTCAAGTTGCAGTGGGGGAGGTCTAGGTTGGATATTAGGAAAAACTGTTTCACTAGGAGGGTAGGGAAGCACTGGAATAGGTTACTTAGGGAGGTGGTGGAATCTCCATCCTTCAAGGTTTTTAAGGCCCGGCTTCACAAAGTCCTGGCTGGGATGGTTTAGTTGAGGTTGGTCCTGCTTTGAACAGGGGGTTGGACTAGATGACCTCCTGAGGTCTCTTCAAACCCTAATCTCCTATGATTCTACGAACACGTCAATGTTACTATAAAATTTGTCTATGGATAAATATACATATTACAGTGATAGTGATAGGAAAAAACCCACAATAAATCAGCAATTAATGTAAGAACATTAGAACAGCCATACTGGGTCAGACCAAAGGTCCATCTAAGTCCAGTATCCTGTCTTCCATCAGAGGCTGGTTCCAGATGCTTCAGAGGGACAAAACAGGGCAGTATATCAAATGATCCATCCCCTGTCATCCAGTCCCAGCTTTTGGCAGTCAGATGTTTAGGGACAACTAGAGCATGGGGCTAATAGGCACTGATGGATCTATCCTCCATGAACAATGGGACCCCAGTACAAATATTGACTGGACCAGATAGACTAGTTCATCTAGAGAACCACTGATAACGTAAGGGTTGAAGAGGAAATACTTCACAGAATGGAGACACCTATTAGATCTATATGCATTACAGTTTCTTTATAACTGCAATGTTTCAAATACATTCACAAAGATCATTTCTAAAGAGAATAATTGCAAGGTTCCACTTACTTGCAGGCTGTTTTTTTCCCTTTAGATGCCATTTAGTGGCCAAAAACATAGGGGATTGGGGGGGGGGGGGGAAATTATGATGCCTGTTATCAAACTTTAAGCCATCAGGCTGACATTTTCCATGTCTACTCTCTGCCCTGGACATATTTTTTTCAAAGCTTCAGTGAAAACAAACAATTAAGCCACTTCCACTGTCTAGGTGACTCAGCTCATAAACTTCCTCCTCCCTTGGGAGTCAATGAAAGTTGCATTTGGCTGGTTTCAGTGGCTCATTTCCTGCCCCACTTCTCTCAGGCTTTGCCACTATACTACTTTCCAGGCTGCTAGCTCGCTATCCTGGACTTCTAGTTCCCTCTGCTTCCTGGCTGCAGGCCAGATTTTCAGCTCTATGTTCTTGACCCCCTGCTGTCTGGGTCCATGGAACAGTGCAAGAAGCAGGCACTGGAATACAACTAGCTCCCCCTTTGGGGAAAGCTGGACAGCAATGAGTAGCTGCAGGGCACAGAGAAAATGAAAGGTTAGTGAAGTCCATGGCAAAATACTATAGCATATTGGGAAAATGCCGAATTCTACAACTATGGAACTGGAATCCACAGGGTCCTGACTGAGATGAATGGGGCAGCTCACACCTTTCAGAGCTATTGTTTCCAGCAGACTCACTGCATCTGTTATCCTTGAAAACATGAACAGAGGACATTTACACAGCCAAGCATGATTTTTTTTTTAATGGAAGGTCAGATTCTGGAGCACAATTCTGTGGCAAGCAGGAGTGCAAGTAGGGTGGTACCTGCCAGTTCACAGTACCGGCAAGAGCTTTTTAGCAGGTACGGGATACCGGAAAGACTTGGGGCTAGCCCCCCCCCCCCCCCAGAGGGGGAGGGGCTGCGCTCTGCTCCTTAAAGGAGCAGAACACGGCTAGGGAGGGCATTCATTCTTTAAATGGCTTTAACAGCACAATACATATGCTAACAAACTTAAACAAAGTCTAACATGCATTTTGTTAACTGGAACTGGAGCAGCAAAACAAAGAAAACAAATGCCTCATTTTCCAGCTTTGTGGGTGAGAGAGAACTATAAGTGAAGATTATAATGCCGGATACTGATGGCCTTAAACCAGCTGCCTCAGGAATCTGCCAAGAACTTCGCTGAAAATATGTTCCTCATCTTAGCAATGGAGCTAAGACTTATCACACATCTGCCCACCTTTATTCGAATGAAGCTCCTTCTGATCTGACAGCTCAGGCATTGTCAGTTTCATCCAGAATAATTTACGAACTTGGAACCTAATCCTGTAAATCCTTAATCATTTGATCAATCCCATTGAAGATAATGGGACTATTTGCATGACTATGGACCCCTTTTGTGGACTGGTAAGAGTTTCAGGAGTCTGTTCCTATAAAGGAAGTTGAATCCCCCATTGAAAAGCAATGTTTGGGTACAATACCATAAAGCAGTTTAGGATACAGTTCTAATTACATTTTACATACTATTTGTTCTACAGACCCCCTCCATTAAGGACACAGGATGGACACTGAATGAGGCACAAAGTGGCAAGAAGAAATAGGATATTCTCTTATATTTAAGGTACTGAACTGAGACCCAGGAGAGCTGATTTATTCCTGGCTCTACTACAGGTTTTATGCATGATGTTGGATAAGATTATCTATTGTGACAGGGTCAGGCCAGATGGCTACAGGAGAGTGATGGAAGGCACATATATAAGCCTCAGATTAAGCAGGTCCCTTTTCCCTGGGTAAGGTAACAGGGGCGGTTCCAGAACAATCAGGAACTTGCTGGAACCAATTAAGGCAGGCAGGCTAATTAGGACATCTGGAGCCAATTAAGAAGCTGCTAGAATCCATTAAGACAGGCAGGCTAATCAGGGCACCTGGTTTAAAAAGGACCTCACTGCAGTCAGTGAGGGGTGTGCGAGGAGCTGGGAGCAAGAGGTACGCAAAAAGCTGAGAGTGAGTAGGCATACTGCTGGAGGACTGAGAAGTACAAGCGTTATCAGACATCAGGAGGAAGGTCCGGTGGTGAGGACAAAGAAGGTGCTGGGAGGAGGCCATGGGTAAGTAGCCCAGGAAGTTGTAGCTGTCACGCAGCTGTTACAGGAGACACTAAAGACAGCTGCAATCCACAGGGCCCTGGGCTGGAACCCGGAGTAGAGGGCGGGTCCGGGTTCCCCCCATCCCCCCAACTCCCTATTTGATATAAGAGGAGTTGATCTGGACTGTGGGTCCCACCAGAGGGGAAGGTCTCTGGCCTGTCCCCCGACCCATTAGGTGGGCCAGCAGAGACTGCGGGGGATTGTTCTCCTTTTCCCCATGCTGGCCAGTGATGTGGTTAGCCGAGTGAACAGCAGATTTGTGCCACTAACAAAAGGAGCCAAACTGAGGACTGCCGAAAACCTCTGAGGCTAGCAAATCCACCAGAAGTGCAGAACCCACCAAGGCAGAGGAGGAACTTTGTCACACTATGTATATGCACGGAGGGCCAAATTAAGGTTGCACTGACAACCTTTATTCTGGCATTTTTAACATCTGAGCGCATATCTTTGCGATCTTAAAGTTCTGGTAATAGTTTCTCAGGACATGCTCTTTTATACGCCTCTTGACAGGAGAGCAATGTGATTGCACAAGGAGGCAATGTCACCACATGTGTGCCACTGAAATGTACCTGCCACAACCCTTCTAACACACGGAAGAAAGCTGGGTGTCTGGCTAGAGACAGAAGTAGCTGTAAACACCAAAGAGGTGGCTTTTACACTTTGTTATAACATGCACTGTAAACGTATGTGTGTAAATCCCCAAATAATATTGTGCAAGGTCATCTTGGTCAAACGGAAAGAAAAAAAATCTAGATTAATACATTTTAATTCCAGAATGGATTCAATCATTATGATCATCTAGAATGACCTCCTGCATAAGAGGGGCCATAGAATGTCACCCAAAAACTCTGGCGACGACTGCAGTAACTTGTGGTTGGGCTAGAGAATCTTTTCGGAAGACATCCACAATATAGCAACAGAGGGTCCTGTGGCACCTTTAAGACTAACAGTTAGTCTTAAAGGTGCCACAGGACCCTCTGTTGCTTTTTACAGATTCAGACTAACACGGCTACCCCTCTGATACTATCCACAATATAGATTCAAAAATTTCAAAAGAAGGAGAATCCACCACAAGTTTTGGTAAGGTGTTCCAATGGCTAATAACCCAAACTGTTAAAAATGTACACCTTATTAAACATTCCTATGCCTTTGGTCGTTTTTTCGTAAAGAACCCCTTGCTATCAGAAATCTCCCCATGTGAGTACTTATTATAGATTGTGTTCAAGTCGCCTCTTGCTATTCTCCTAGATAAAATAAACAGACAGATTCTTCAGTCTCTCACTATAAAGAGAGGTTTTCAAGACCTCAAATGATTCTTATAGCTCTTCTGAACTCTTTCAATTTTTAAATATCTTTTTTGAAGTGTGGATACCAGAACTGGACACAGGATCCAGTAATGGTCTCACTAATGTCATATACAGAGGTAATATCACCTCCTCACATCTACTCAACATTCCCCGGATTATAAACTGATAGCTCATGTTCAGTTGGTTATCTATCGTAACCCCCGAATTCCTTCTCAGAATCATTACTTTCCAAAATACAGGCCACCCATCCTGTAAGTACAACCTACATTCTTTGTTCTTCGATTATGATCTTGCCTGTGAACTTATTAAAACAGTTTTGATTGCATGCACTTTATCAAGCCATCCAGATCACTTTGTGCAATTAAGCTGTCATTTACCACTCCACCAGTTTTTTTTATCTCTGAAGACTTTACAAGCAATTATTTTAGATTTTCTTCCCCTGGCATCAAGTTTCTTTGATGTGACCTATTTGCCATAAAAGCATGTCAATAGGAATTCATTTTATTACTCTTCTGTAGTTCCCTATTAAGTCTCAAAAACTATTTCATTATTTTGCCTGGAGGATCAATGCCCGGTTAATGGGCTTATCATTACTTAGGTCATCCCATT